GGTTAGATAAAGAGTAAAGCTTCCTTTACACTGTCCCCCCATCAAACACCCCCAGGGACAGGGACAGCAGGGGGTTAGATACAGAGTAACTAGGGCTGTAGACAGAGCTTCGAACTGAATTGCACGGGGGAGAGAGAGAGAGAAGGGGGTCAGTTGCATAGAAAACTAGAAGATCAAAAGTAAAGAAGAAAGCAGGATGTCTATTTAGTGATGATTCTGATTGTTACCAGCAAATAAAAGGGACAGGATGTGTCAGGCTCCCGACAGTGTAGAAGCAGGCCATTCGGCCCATCAAGTCCACACCGACCCTTCAAAGAGCATCCCACCCTATTCCTGCATTTCCATGGCTAACCCACCCTAGCCTGCTCATCGCTGGGCAATATGGGACAATTTAGCACAGCCAATCCACCATAACCTGCACGTCTTCAGACTGTGGGGGGAAAACCACACAGATGCAGGGCAGAATGTGCAAACTGCACACATATAGTCACCCCCAGGGGTGTAATCAAACCCAGGTCCCTAGCACTGCAAGGCATCAGTGCCACCATATTACAAAGAACTATAAAAGCACAGGGGAAATCAATTATAGAACAAACTTCAAGGTCTTGTATCTTAATGCGCGAAACATTCGGAATAATGTGGACGAACAGACAGCTTATGTTGAGGTCAACGAAATGAGGATAGACACCCGAAGGTTGCAGGAACAGCAACTCATATTCCGCTTGGGAACCCTGCAGCCCAATGGTATCAATGTGGATTTCACAAGTTTCAAAATCTCCCCTCCCCCCACCGCATCCCAAAACCAGTCCAACTCGTCCCTGCCTCCCTAACCTGTTCTTCCTCCCACCTATCCCCTCCTCCCACCTCAAGCCGCACCTCCATCTCCTACCGACCAACCTCATCCCGCCCCCTTGACCTGTCCGTCCTCCCTGGACTGACCTATCCCCTTCCTAACTCCCTACCTACACTCACCTTTCCTGGCCCCATCCCCGCCTCTTCGACCTGTTTGTTTCCTCTCCACCTATCCTCTCCTCTATCCCTCTTCTATCCGCCTCCCACTCTCTCCCTATTTATTTCAAAACCCCCTTCCCCTCCCCCTTTTCTGATGAAGGGTCTAGGCCCGAAACGTCAGCCTCTCTGCTCCTATGATGCTGCTTGGCCTGCTGTGTTCATCCAGCCCTGCACCTTGTTGTCTCGAAATGAGGATAGAGTTGCCTGAAGTGAACTGGATGGCTGAATTAGCAGAAATGATTGTAAGCAAACAGTGGCAGATACTTGCGATAATTAGATAATTCAAGACTTTCAGCAAAACATAAATCCCAGTTAAGCAGGAAAGATTCTAAGAGAGGGATAAACCAACAAACGGTTAACTTCCTAACGGAGGACGTTAAGGAGAGTGTTAAGTTGAAAGAAATTCTAACAGGATTGGACAGGGTAGATGCAGGGAGGATGTTCC